TAAATATGGTTGTATGATTGATATTGTGTACATGTGTTAAAGTGTTCAAATGTGTTTTAAATTGCTTTATAATAATGAGAACGCAGCTGTGTGCGGCACATAATGTCCATTACTCAAGTCATTTTGCTGCAACGTGTAAAGAGAAACATTTTATTTACGGTGATGACACCAAAAAGCGGTGAAAATTCAAAAACATTATAAAGATAAAAACCTAGTGAGCTGACTAACTAGGCTGATGATCACAGTGTGATGCTGCTAATTTGGAGTCCTTGCAAAAATGCACCATGGTTACCATAGTTTTAGCTTTATTATCATGGTTACTACAGTTATTGCAAAAATATATATATAATAATAATAATTGGTATCCATCACTGTGATTCCTGTGAAGTTTTCTTTCACTGTACATTACTAATTTTACTGTTACTAATAATAACTGTGGGAACATTGGTATGGAAAATAATAATATAACAATAATTTTTTAACAATAATTATTAATTTGTTCTTTTTTTTTTTTTTTTTTTTACCTGTCTGCATTGGTATTGGTCATGAGCTAACACTTATTAATAATAAAAAGCCCAAAATGTCTAAGTTTTGAGACAAACCCACACTGTAAGAAATGACCGTGAATTTAACGGTAAAAGACTGTAAAATTGCTACAGTAAAAACCTGTTAAATGGTTAACGGTAAATTCCCCTACTATATACGGTGAAAAAATGTATTGGAAATTACATGTATTGGACATAAATTTTTTGGAAGTTAAAAATACCGTATAATTTACAGTGAATAACCGTAAATTGACATTCCCAGAATTCCCTGCGTTACATTTCAAATTTGATGTTTTTTTGTTGAAATAACTATGTTTCTTCTTAGTTTTTTCTTATCAGTTTTGTATATTAGGGTTGTGTGTTACACCTAATATTGTTAAATGAATGTTTATTGCATTATTTCAGTTTCATGTGTGTTACCGTGATGGTGTTTGTGTGAATGACACTGTGCACCTTCTATATATGTTATTATTTAAAAGCTTTAAATAGGCTTTGAATGACTTTCTCATCACCACCTGTATTTGGTGGTTATCAGTGTATTGCAAAGGTACAAAACTGATTTCAGTACTTCAATAGGTTGGTATATTAACATTATATCAGTTAATGAAATTACGGTATTTAACTGTAAATTTAAGTTAAAACCTAAAACGTTGCTACCGTATTTTTTATGGTAAAAAGTTTTTTACCGTAAATTTTACGGAATTTTTTTTACAGTGCATGTTCAAGTCAAGTCAAATTTATTTCTATAGCCCATCACTTTATACAATACAGACTGTTTCAAAGCAGCTTCACACTAATAGGAATTAGTTAATAGTTATAATAGTTATAATTAGCATTGCTAATGTTGCAAAATTCTTCAGTTATGAGACTAATTTCAGCTGTAAAGCAACTCTTCAGAGGTGTCATTATTCAGCTCAAATTTCAGTTTTGATTAAGTTTATTTTCAAATAACTGTGTCGATGTTGCAGAGTTCATCAGTGAAACAAACTCAATTCCACTATAAAGCAGCTGTACAGAAGACTAAAGTGTTGCTAAGTGAGGGACAGAGTTCTTTAGAAACATTTAAGTGAAGAGTTGTACGTGTGCCATATAAGACAGTAAACACAATTGTTTGTGGGGATTAGTTTGTATTAATCGGCTTTGTTGTAGACTAAACTGGTTGAAAATGCACATAATCTCTGTACATCTGTCATTAAATACCGTGTGCATGTGTTTAGGAGAGAAGCTCATGAATGTGTCCTTCTGTAAACAGCTCCATCATCACAGAAGCAATGGACGCTCTGACATTCTGAGTGACAGGTAATACTGCATTTAATATGGGAGATTCATATATGACAGATATTGGGATAATTGAACGATATGTCACCTTAATATCAGTTTTGCAATGCCACATGCCAAGCAGCCTGATCTAAACTTGAGAATCTTCAGTTTCATTGTGCATCAGACAGTGTCTCACACATATCACATGCTCAGCAGCTGCAGCTGTGCTCAGATGGCACATGTACAGATGTGAAAATGCATGTGTGTTTTTGTCCAAAATCTATTGAACACCGATTTGCTCTCTCCTTTTTGTGTGGATTTTCAGTGAATGTGCTGCTTGTCAATCTCACATTGTGAGCTGTATTGTTGGTATTCCAACTGCATCTGTGTGCTTCCGAAAACACTTGGTTCCATGAGAATGTTGATTCTCATCTCGTTTTCAAGGCGCGCCATGATTCATTATGTGTCAGATTTGCTACAGATGGAAATTGACGCCCTCCTGATTTATTTCCAGCAAGCAGATCTTTGTAAATTGACAGCACTATGTGTTCGTTTCCCTCAGATTATCTGTGTGGTGAGCGCCCCCTGCTGAAGGCTGAGTGGCATGAGCGCGTGCGGGAGGAAGGCCCTGACCCTGCTCAGCAGTGTGTTTGCGGTATGCAGTCTGGGGCTGCTGGGTATCGCCGTCAGCACTGACTACTGGCTCTACCTGGAGGAGGGCGTCATCCTGCCTCTCAACCAGAGTGCTGACATACGCATGTCCATCCACTCCGGCCTCTGGAGAGTCTGTTTTCTGGCAGGTAAGTAAATGGCTTATTCTACTTTTGGAGGACTTTACCTCAAGTTACATTTACAGCTGTTCATTTTTCAGAATATGTGACTTGCCTGGACTACTGCATATATGCATAACATTACAGCTTGAAAATGTTTTTTTTTTTTTAAAGGGTGCATAACACAGTTTCACCCAATCTCATGTTAATCTTGAGTACCTATAGAGTAGTACTGCATCCTTCATATCTCCAAAAAGTCTTTAGTTTTATCATATTTATAAAAGAAAGATACAGCTTTACGATTCTCTCTGGAAAAAGCCGAGCTCCTGGAGGCGCGCCGTGGGTGGAGCTAAAGAGTGATGAGCACTTGGGCGCCGAATGCCAACAAAACAGACATTTGATGCCGTTTCACTTATCGTCTGCTGTTCTGAATCATGACCGGAATCTTTTCTAGCTGGGACCGCTCCATCTTTCAGTATCAAATGATGTGCAAATCCAGCGTCGAACTGGGCCTTGTTTAAAAAACGTTCGTCAACAAACACACTTGTGAAACTCCGTTGCTGCTCCGGAAAAACAAACTGTATCCAATGTTTACATAATGCTGGGTTCTTTAGGAAGCTGAACAAAGTTATCTTTCCCTTACGACCAAAAACACTTTGGATTGGAGACATTCTTCCCGAGCGAGTCCGGTGCAGCGCTGCCGCCAGATGAAGCGCGATCTCGCTCTCCCTCTGGTCTATGTGTTCTTCCGGGAGAAATGCCCATATAAGGAGTTCCACCCTCGTCTACGTCATGAAGAGCCACAATCGAAAAAAAACCTCTCCAAAACTTGTACGAACCCGGAAGTAAGATTTTTGGCACAGAAATACTCTGTCATACGTCCAAATTGTTTTTTGAAACTTTATCCATGTTTAGCATGAGAATCCAACTCTTTATCAGTGTAAACAACTACCCCCCCTTTAAGTAATGCACATCTCTATTAAAGCTTGTTCCACCACTGAATGAAAAGAAAAATTTAATTGCAACTTTTTATCTCACAGTTCTTTTTTTTTCTTACAATTCTGATTTTTTTCCCCCTGAATTCTGTGATATGATCTCACAATTCTGACTTTTTTCCCCCTGAATTCTATATGAACTCACAATTCTGACTTTTTTCCATGAATTCTATGATATAAACTCACAATTCTGACTTTTTCCCCTGACTTCTATGATATAAACTCACAATTCTGACTTTTTCCCCTGACTTCTATGATATAAACTCACAATTCTGACTTTTTCCCCTGACTTCTATGATATAAACTCATAAACTCAACTTTCCCCCCTGAATTCTGTGATATAAACTCATTCTGTAATATAAACTCACAACTCTGACTTTTTCCCCCTTTCCCCCTTAATATAAACTCACAACTCTGACTTTTTCCCCCTGACTTCTATAATATAAACTCACAACTCTGACTTTTTCCCCCTGACTTCTATAATATAAACTCACAACTCTGACTTTTTCCCCCTGACTTCTATAATATAAACTCACAACTCTGACTTTTTCCCCCTGACTTCTATAATATAAACTCACAACTCTGACTTTTTCCCCCTGACTTCTATAATATAAACTCACAACTCTGACTTTTTCCCCCTGACTTCTATGAATGACACTGTGCACCTTCTATATATGTTATTATTTAAAAGCTTTAAATAGGCTTTGAATGACTTTCTCATCACCACCTGTATTTGGTGGTTATCAGTGTATTGCAAAGGTACAAAACTGATTTCAGTACTTCAATAGGTTGGTATATTAACATTATATCAGTTAATGAAATTACGGTATTTAACTGTAAATTTAAGTTAAAACCTAAAACGTTGCTACCGTATTTTTTATGGTAAAAAGTTTTTTACCGTAAATTTTACGGAATTTTTTTTACAGTGCATGTTCAAGTCAAGTCAAATTTATTTCTATAGCCCATCACTTTATACAATACAGACTGTTTCAAAGCAGCTTCACACTAATAGGAATTAGTTAATAGTTATAATAGTTATAATTAGCATTGCTAATGTTGCAAAATTCTTCAGTTATGAGACTAATTTCAGCTGTAAAGCAACTCTTCAGAGGTGTCATTATTCAGCTCAAATTTCAGTTTTGATTAAGTTTATTTTCAAATAACTGTGTCGATGTTGCAGAGTTCATCAGTGAAACAAACTCAATTCCACTATAAAGCAGCTGTACAGAAGACTAAAGTGTTGCTAAGTGAGGGACAGAGTTCTTTAGAAACATTTAAGTGAAGAGTTGTACGTGTGCCATATAAGACAGTAAACACAATTGTTTGTGGGGATTAGTTTGTATTAATCGGCTTTGTTGTAGACTAAACTGGTTGAAAATGCACATAATCTCTGTACATCTGTCATTAAATACCGTGTGCATGTGTTTAGGAGAGAAGCTCATGAATGTGTCCTTCTGTAAACAGCTCCATCATCACAGAAGCAATGGACGCTCTGACATTCTGAGTGACAGGTAATACTGCATTTAATATGGGAGATTCATATATGACAGATATTGGGATAATTGAACGATATGTCACCTTAATATCAGTTTTGCAATGCCACATGCCAAGCAGCCTGATCTAAACTTGAGAATCTTCAGTTTCATTGTGCATCAGACAGTGTCTCACACATATCACATGCTCAGCAGCTGCAGCTGTGCTCAGATGGCACATGTACAGATGTGAAAATGCATGTGTGTTTTTGTCCAAAATCTATTGAACACCGATTTGCTCTCTCCTTTTTGTGTGGATTTTCAGTGAATGTGCTGCTTGTCAATCTCACATTGTGAGCTGTATTGTTGGTATTCCAACTGCATCTGTGTGCTTCCGAAAACACTTGGTTCCATGAGAATGTTGATTCTCATCTCGTTTTCAAGGCGCGCCATGATTCATTATGTGTCAGATTTGCTACAGATGGAAATTGACGCCCTCCTGATTTATTTCCAGCAAGCAGATCTTTGTAAATTGACAGCACTATGTGTTCGTTTCCCTCAGATTATCTGTGTGGTGAGCGCCCCCTGCTGAAGGCTGAGTGGCATGAGCGCGTGCGGGAGGAAGGCCCTGACCCTGCTCAGCAGTGTGTTTGCGGTATGCAGTCTGGGGCTGCTGGGTATCGCCGTCAGCACTGACTACTGGCTCTACCTGGAGGAGGGCGTCATCCTGCCTCTCAACCAGAGTGCTGACATACGCATGTCCATCCACTCCGGCCTCTGGAGAGTCTGTTTTCTGGCAGGTAAGTAAATGGCTTATTCTACTTTTGGAGGACTTTACCTCAAGTTACATTTACAGCTGTTCATTTTTCAGAATCTGTGACTTGCCTGGACTACTGCATATATGCATAACATTACAGCTTGAAAATGTTTTTTTTTTTTTTAAAGGGTGCATAACACAGTTTCACCCAATCTCATGTTAATCTTGAGTACCTATAGAGTAGTACTGCATCCTTCATATCTCCAAAAAGTCTTTAGTTTTATCATATTTATAAAAGAAAGATACAGTAATGATGTGCAAATCCAGCGTCGAACTGGGCCTTGTTTAAAAAACGTTCGTCAACAAACACACTTGTGAAACTCCGTTGCTGCTCCGGAAAAACAAACTGTATCCAATGTTTACATAATGCTGGGTTCTTTAGGAAGCTGAACAAAGTTATCTTTCCCTTACGACCAAAAACACTTTGGATTGGAGACATTCTTCCCGAGCGAGTCCGGTGCAGCGCTGCCGCCAGATGAAGCGCGATCTCGCTCTCCCTCTGGTCTATGTGTTCTTCCGGGAGAAATGCCCATATAAGGAGTTCCACCCTCGTCTACGTCATGAAGAGCCACAATCGAAAAAAAAACTCTCCAAAACTTGTACGAACCCGGAAGTAAGATTTTTGGCACAGAAATACTCTGTCATACGTCCAAATTGTTTTTTGAAACTTTATCCATGTTTAGCATGAGAATCCAACTCTTTATCAGTGTAAACAACTACCCCCCCTTTAAGTAATGCACATCTCTATTAAAGCTTGTTCCACCACTGAATGAAAAGAAAAATTTAATTGCAACTTTTTATCTCACAGTTCTTTTTTTTTCTTACAATTCTGATTTTTTTCCCCCTGAATTCTGTGATATGATCTCACAATTCTGACTTTTTTCCCCCTGAATTCTATATGAACTCACAATTCTGACTTTTTTCCATGAATTCTATGATATAAATTCACAATTCTGACTTTTTCCCCTGACTTCTATGATATAAACTCACAATTCTGACTTTTTCCCCTGACTTGTATAATATAAACTCACAATTCTGACTTTTTCCCCCTGACTTCTATGATATAAACTCAAAATTCTGACTTTCCCCCCTCAATTCTGTGATATAAACTCATTCTGTAATATAAACTCACAACTCTGACTTTTTCCCCCTGACTTCTATGATATAAACTCAAAATTCTGACTTTCCCCCCTGAATTCTGTGATATAAACTCATTCTGTAAATACTCTGTCATACGTCCAAATTGTTTTTTGAAACTTTATCCATGTTTAGCATGAGAATCCAACTCTTTATCAGTGTAAACAACTACCCCCCTTTAAGTAATGCACATCTCTATTAAAGCTTGTTCCACCACTGAATACAAAGAAAAATTTAATTGCAACTTTTTATCTCACAGTTCTTTTTTTTTCTTACAATTCTGATTTTTTCCCCCTGAATTCTGTGATATGATCTCACAATTCTGACTTTTTTCCCCCTGAATTCTATATGAACTCACAATTCTGACTTTTTTCCATGAATTCTATGATATAAACTCACAATTCTGACTTTTTCCCCTGACTTCTATAATATAAACTCACAATTCTGACTTTTTCCCCTGACTTCTATAATATAAACTCACAATTCTGACTTTTTCCCCTGACTTCTATAATATAAACTCACAATTCTGACTTTTTCCCCTGACTTCTATAATATAAACTCACAATTCTGACTTTTTCCCCTGACTTCTATAATATAAACTCACAATTCTGACTTTTTCCCCTGACTTCTATAATATAAACTCACAATTCTGACTTTTTCCCCTGACTTCTATAATATAAACTCACAATTCTGACTTTTTCCCCTGACTTCTATAATATAAACTCACAATTCTGACTTTTTCCCCTGACTTCTATAATATAAACTCACAATTCTGACTTTTTCCCCTGACTTCTATAATATAAACTCACAATTCTGACTTTTTCCCCTGACTTCTATAATATAAACTCACAATTCTGACTTTTTCCCCTGACTTCTATAATATAAACTCACAATTCTGACTTTTTCCCCTGACTTCTATAATATAAACTCACAATTCTGACTTTTTCCCCTGACTTCTATAATATAAACTCACAATTCTGACTTTTTCCCCTGACTTCTATAATATAAACTCACAATTCTGACTTTTTCCCCTGACTTCTATAATATAAACTCACAATTCTGACTTTTTCCCCTGACTTCTATAATATAAACTCACAATTCTGACTTTTTCCCCTGACTTCTATAATATAAACTCACAATTCTGACTTTTTCCCCTGACTTCTATAATATAAACTCACAATTCTGACTTTTTCCCCTGACTTCTATAATATAAACTCACAATTCTGACTTTTTCCCCTGACTTCTATAATATAAACTCACAATTCTGACTTTTTCCCCTGACTTCTATAATATAAACTCACAATTCTGACTTTTTCCCCTGACTTCTATAATATAAACTCACAATTCTGACTTTTTCCCCTGACTTCTATAATATAAACTCACAATTCTGACTTTTTCCCCTGACTTCTATAATATAAACTCACAATTCTGACTTTTTCCCCTGACTTCTATAATATAAACTCACAATTCTGACTTTTTCCCCTGACTTCTATAATATAAACTCACAATTCTGACTTTTTCCCCTGACTTCTATAATATAAACTCACAATTCTGACTTTTTCCCCTGACTTCTATAATATAAACTCACAATTCTGACTTTTTCCCCTGACTTCTATAATATAAACTCACAATTCTGACTTTTTCCCCTGACTTCTATAATATAAACTCACAATTCTGACTTTTTCCCCTGACTTCTATAATATAAACTCACAATTCTGACTTTTTCCCCTGACTTCTATAATATAAACTCACAATTCTGACTTTTTCCCCTGACTTCTATAATATAAACTCACAATTCTGACTTTTTCCCCTGACTTCTATAATATAAACTCACAATTCTGACTTTTTCCCCTGACTTCTATAATATAAACTCACAATTCTGACTTTTTCCCCTGACTTCTATAATATAAACTCACAATTCTGACTTTTTCCCCTGACTTCTATAATATAAACTCACAATTCTGACTTTTTCCCCTGACTTCTATAATATAAACTCACAATTCTGACTTTTTCCCCTGACTTCTATAATATAAACTCACAATTCTGACTTTTTCCCCTGACTTCTATAATATAAACTCACAATTCTGACTTTTTCCCCTGACTTCTATAATATAAACTCACAATTCTGACTTTTTCCCCTGACTTCTATAATATAAACTCACAATTCTGACTTTTTCCCCTGACTTCTATAATATAAACTCACAATTCTGACTTTTTCCCCTGACTTCTATAATATAAACTCACAATTCTGACTTTTTCCCCCTGACTTCTATGATATAAACTCAAAATTCTGACTTTTCCCCCTGAATTCTGTGATATGAACTCACAATTCTGACTTTTCCCCCTGAATTCTATATGAACTCACAATTCTGACGTTTCCCCCCTAGTTTCTATATGAACACACAATTCTGACTTTTTCCCCCTGACTTCTATGATATAAACTCAAAATTCTGACTTTCCCCCCTGAATTCTGTGATATAAACTCATTCTGTAATATAAACTCACAACTCTGACTTTTTCCCCCTGACTTCTATGATATAAACTCACAATTCTGACTTTTTCGCCTGAATTCTGTGATATAAACTCATTCTGTAATATAAACTCACAACTCTGACTTTTTCCCCCTGACTTCTATAATATAAACTCACAACTCTGACTTTTTCCCCCTGACTTCTATAATATAAACTCACAACTCTGACTTTTTCCCTCTGACTTCTATGATATAAACTCACAATTCTGACTTTTCCCCCTGAATTCTGTGATATGAACTCACAATTCTGACTTTTCCCCCTTGAATTCTATATGAACTCACAATTCTGACTTTCCCCCCTGAATTCTGTGATATGAACTCACAATTCTGACTTTTCCCCCTGAATTCTGTGATATGAACTCACAATTCTGACTTTTCCCCCTGAATTCTGTGATATGAACTCACAATTCTGACTTTTCCCCCTGAATTCTGTGATATGAACTCACAATTCTGACTTTTCCCCCTGAATTCTGTGATATGAACTCACAATTCTGACTTTTCCCCCCTGAATTCTATATGAACACACAATTCTGACTTTTCCCCCCTGAATTTTATATGAACACACAATTCTGACTTTTCCCCCTGAATTCTATATAAACACACAATTCTGACTTTTCCCCCCTAAATTCTATATGAACACACAATTCGGACTTTTTTTTCCATGAATTCTATGATATAAACTCATAGTTCTGACTTTTCCCCTGAATTCTATGATATAAATTCACAATTCAGATTTTCCCCCTTGAATTCTGTGATATAAACTCACAATTCTGACACTTTTCCCTTGATTCTATTATATGAAATCAAAATTCTGACTTTTCCCCCCTGAATTCTGTGATATAAACTCAAAATTCTGACTTTTTTCTCAGAGTAGTGAGATATAAACTTGTGAGTTATAAAGTTAGAACTGAGATATAAACACGCAATTGTAAGAAAATAGTCTCTTTTTTCACAGAATTGAACTGTATATCTCGCAATTGCAAGTTTATATCTCATCATTCTGAGAAAAGACGTCAGAATTGCAAGAAATAAGTCAGAATTTGTAAGAAAAAACATTTGTATTGCGTTTCCATACATCTCACTTATTGCCACAAAGAATATTCAGTGTATTGATTTTAGAAACTGAGCAAAAATATCCAGCACTTCCAACAGGTACAAAATAAGGCTTAAAAATTTATTTATTTATTTAGATTAGAAGGAAAATAGGGGGTCAAATGAAAAAATGTACATTCTATTTTTGAAACGAAATAATTTACTTGTATAAGTAAATATTTAAATTAATTAATTAATGTTTTTTTTATTTATTTGTGAATTTATTCATGCGAGTCTAGATGTTTCCATTCACTGCAGATGTTTGTTTTTTTTTGGTTGAGGTTCCCTGGTGTTCACACACCTTCTGATGGTGTGAATTGAGATCACGGTGTGAATTAAACTCCCAACTCCCAGTGCTGATATTTAAGAAATTAAGCTACATCGCAATAATACAAAACGGGATATCCCAGTGAATGTTAACAAACACCCAGAACTTTTTTTTCTACTGCATGATGAAAAGATCGCTTTATTAATTTTTTTAAAAGAAAAAGTCTTTTTTGAGAGTTTTACTTCTTATTTTGTTCTTACTGTCAGTATTGGAAATTGGTCTTCGGCAAACAGCCAGTCATTTGAGTTCTTTCCAATAGACTTCACACATTCAAAGGGGTTTATAGGTTTTACGCCATTATTTTTGGCTGGTCAGGCATTCTGGGCTGATTACAAAGGTTTCAGCTCTATGCTTGTGCCCTCCCTTGACATCTCCATGGATGTGTTTAATGATGGGATGTCTTCTGCTGTATTAAGCAGGTTTATCCACATGAGGCAGGATGTTTTGTTATCGTTTAGATGACATGTTGAGCTCACACTACCCTGAATCGGCAAACAACGGCCTGCTGTGGCACAAACACACAAGCATTAGTCTCAGCGAAAGAATGTGCCGTATGTGTGAAGATGTGGGCGAGCAATTAGACTGAGTTTGGTTCAAACCCACGCTGTTTATAGCCGGTTAAATTGAGCGTGACTGTGAACAGATGTGAGCAGTCATTTCAGCTCTACAGGGATGGGGTGCTGGGATCACCATCAGCCTTGTGCTTTAAAACACCCAAAACTTTCAGAAGTCTAGAAGTCTCACATTATTTCTGTGCTTTGATGTGAGAGGGCTGCATTGCTGCGGGTGTCATAGTGTTGAATGTGTAAATGTGATATGAGACTGACTGTGATATCATGATCCTGTAGGTCGCAGCACATGAGGAAAGTGACAGTGACTCCAATCTTTGACTCACAGATGAAATCACAATGACTGCCCTTAAAGGTTTAGCTCACCGAAAAAAAAGAAGACATTTCTGTCATCATTAACTCAAACCTATTTGAAGCTGAATATTGGTAACCTAACTGTTTTATATGGACGTAAAAATAAGAAATAAATCAAAAACACTGAGACATTGTTTTTTAAATGTTAAGTAGAAAGGTTTGGAAAAACATGTGTAAATGCTGTTTAATCCAATCTTTCCAGAAATTCTCAAAAGTATATACAGAATTGTTTTCATTTCTTTCTGTTAAAGTTGGCATGAAATGAAAAAAAAATCATGTTATCTGTTTTCTAAATGCATTTTATTGATGTTATTGTAAACAATTCATGCATGTTTAATTTTTATTTATTGTTATTATTATTATTGATTTTGTCATTTTAAATCAAAACTTAGTCCTAACTCGATCTTCCGGTGAAAGGACAGGACTATCTGGTGACATGTGGCAGTTTTCTCCAATCATTTAGTCTGCTTAAACCCGCCCTTTTCTTACATTCGACTGCAAACTGCAAGCTTACAATCAACTGCCTCCATCCAAACAACAACCGATGGATAGAACCGAGTCTTCGCCCCACACAATTTTTACAAATGTCATTATAAATTATCTGTCAATAGACTAGAACTTTAAAATGTTTATTGCTATTATTGTTTTTTTATTGATGACCACTGTTTGAAAAGCCCTGCTCTGCACTATGAAATGAAACTCAAACCCAACCTTGTTATGTCTCCTAAACTATGAAAGCACAACCTCAGAGCAGTCACATGGTACTCTGTGCTCTTTCTGTTTCAGGTGAGGAGAGGGGTCGCTGCTTCACGATCGAGTATGTGATGCCCATGAGCGTTCAGCTGACCAGTGAGTCTACTGTCAGTGTTCTGAGTAAGTGATTATACCTTCATGACAAACAAATCATTGAGTACTCCAGCAGTTCTGCAAAACTGGTTTTACTTCAGGATCCAGATTTGGGGAGACGGTGTTAGTTAGTTTAAATAGCCTTTGCCAACTTTGTGTTTGCACTTAGAGAGATAGTTCACCCAAAAATCACTCAAGTTGTTCCAAACCTGTATTAATTTTTTCTTCTGTTGAACATAAAAGAAGATGTTTTGAAGAATGTGGGTAACCAAACTGTTGCTGGTCCCCATTGGCTTCTATAGTATGGAGAAAAAATAAATACTATGGAAGTCAATGGGAACCTGCAACTGTTTGTTTACCCACATTCTTCATAAACTTATTTTTTGTTCAGCAGAAGAAATACATTTGGGTGAACTATCCTTTTAATGCAAATAGACACTCTTTAACCTTGCATAGTTTCGCTCATGGTTTTTGAGGATGAGGGCATGTCATGCAAACAGTCCATGCTGTCATTCTAAATATCCTAACCACTCTGGACAATTATGTGGTTCCTTTTGTTATTTGCAGTTAGCATTGCTGTTTCACTGCTGTCAGAACAGAACAACTCCCATATTTAAAATCCATATAATATATTTACATCCAGTTGCATAAACTGCTTATACAATCCAAAACGGTATTGTTACGGGGCTGACAAGACGTGAGACGCGCGGATCCATCTGCAAGCTTTATTAACATCAGAGGAGGTCAGAAACACAGGCAGGGTCGAACGGTGGCAAACAGGTATATGGCGGGCAAGACACAAGAATAGTCCTAGGGCTAGCGTAGGTCAACGATTGGCGAACAGGATTACAAGGGCGAGACTAAAGGGATAAATCCAGGAAAACAGGCACAGATCAAAAACCGAGAAAACAGACAAGGCAAGACTAGGCTGGGCTGGGCTGGGCTAGGCTAGGAAGCTAAAGAGGGCTCTGTAGAGTAGCTATCACTGTGGGCGATAAGCGCATACAATACTCGGCAGCAAGAACGGAGTGAGATTGGGTGTTAAATAGTGAATGAGTGATATGAAACAGTGATATGCAATCAGTGCTGTGTGCAATCAGGGCTGTGTGCAATCAGTGCAATGAATGATGGGATATGTAGTCCGGGGTGATGTGCAACAGTGTGGGAAATGTGAGTATGATGAATGATTATTAGCTGTCAGTTTTGAAAGCTGTTTTAGAGGCTCCAATGAGTTTATTTCGGTGTGCCGTCCCGTCAGTGTGCTGGTAATTACCCCGCTGAGGGTCTGAGCTGATGGACAGCAAGACAACGCTGTCAGCAGCTTCATTAACAGTCACTCACATGCTTCACAGAAATAGAGCTCCTCTCATGACTCAACTGACATTCACAGCTGATTCCAGAAGTTAGCATGCTAAGCTAAGCTAATGACTGACACACCACATGCTTATTGTACAAAAGCATTTGAATAAAATGAAACCGTTGTTTCCTACACCACTGTTTTTTGTCTGCACGCAAAAACAAACATACTGCACGACCAGTATAGACCGACTGATGAACGAATTACTTTTTTAGACTTAGTAATAAGTAATAATAATATAATATTATATTATTAATACTATAATAATAACTAAAGTGTTATTTTAAATTTTATATATGCTATATTAGCATACACACCAACAGATGAAAATATTAAGAATAATAGCAGGGTGCACTAAAAGGAAAGATTTTGATTGGCTGTCAATGTTTTTATCATTCGTCGACTGGAAGAATGATATCGTTCTGAAGGTGATCCCAATGATATATTGCCACTGTGTTATTTTCACTATAGCTGAACCGTTTTAAAACTTTAAGTTTAGAGTTAATTTTATACACTGTAAAGAGTGATTATTGACTTCAGTTAAAAAAAACATATTGCCTTAAAGTAAATACATTTCATACCTAAAAAAGTAAGTTATGTGTACCTGGAGTTATACTGAAAATTAGAAGTTATGAAAACTAAAAAAGAAAATGTGTTCACTTTCTTATGTTGGGCTAAATTAAGACGATTAAAGACGTCTCGGTTACGTATGTAACACTCGTTCCCTGAAGGAGGGAACGGAAATGTCACGTCGGTGACCGACAAATTGGGATCTCGCTTAGAGAGACCAATCCACTTCGAGTGTAAACTAAACGAGCCAATGTACATTGGCATGCAGTAATTGCATCCAGCTGCCGCATACCAGGTGCAACGCATACAAGGTTTTTGCTGAGGAGCCGAGCCGGTGACCCGGCCGCTCAGCTGTGGTACAATAGCCGTGGTGACGGGACGTGACGTCTCCGTTCCCTCCTTCAGGGAACGAGGGTTACATACGTAACCGAGACGTTCCCTTTCAGTCGGTCACTTTCGACGTCACATCGGTGACCGACGAATTGGGATCCCTACCAAAGCGGCATGGATGCTGCCCCTTCCATTGTCCTGTGCGAGCCGCTAGAGGTGATTATAACTCTCTTGGAAATGGCAGAAGTCTGCCGGGGAAACACGGGCTCTGAGGCAATACCGTGGACTTTACAAATATGGGATACACTTAGGTCTCTACATATGGAACCCAGCCCTCTACCAGTTCTCAAGGATTCATCAAGTGAGGGCCTGGCGCCGGACGCTCCGCCACGTCTGGCTGTTTGAGGTGAGAACACAGGAGGATACCAGCTCCACACGAAGGCTATAGAAATATTTGTCAGTGAGGTGCCACGAGCCATCACCCAGGAGGATGCAACACTTCTAGTAGAGTGAGCTCACAACCTGAACAGGCAGGGCACACCCTGTTCCTAATAAGCCAGGGGGATGGCATTCACAATCCAGTGGGCCATCCTCTGCTTAGAGATGGCCTTCCCCTTCTGCCGGCCTCCGTAACAGACAAAGAGCTGGTCTGAGGTCCTAAAGCTTTGTGTTCAGTCTATGTACCATCTCAAGGCTCGGACGGGACAAAGCAAAGCTAGGGCTGCCGGGGGCAGCACTTGCTGGTTCACTACCTGATCCCTGAAAGGGGTAGTAGGAACCTTGGGCACATAGCCGGGCCGGGGCCTCATGATTACCTGGTTACCTGGGAGCCCAAACTCTAGGCATGAATCGTCGACTGAAAATGCGTGCAGGTCTCCTACCCTCTTGATGAAGGCCAGAAGGCCAGTGGGCAGAGTTTTCATTGAAAGAAACTTTAGCTCGACTGACTGCAAAGGCTCAAATGGGCCCTGCTGTAGTGCTTTGAGCACTAGAGACAGGTCCCAAGAGGGTATAGGGAGGTCCGGGGAGGATTTACCTTTCTCGGCCCCCTAAGGAACCTGATGACCAGGTCATGCTTCCCTTCCGACTTCCCTTCCATGGGGTCATAGTTAGCAGCAATCGCAGCGACATAGACTTTAAGGGTGGAGGGAGACAGCCTTCACTCCAACCCTTGCTGCAAAAAGCAAAGCACGACCCTGATCGGTCATTTCTGGGGGTCTTCTCGGTGAGAATAACACCACTCGATGAACAAGTTCCATTTCAAGGCGTAAGCATGTCTCGTAGACGGTGCTCTCGCCGAAGTGATGGTGTCAACTACCTCCTGGGGAAGGTCACCTAGAACCTCCGCGGGTGCCACTGGGTGTCAGTAGATCCTTCCTCAGAGGAATCTGCCAAGGAGGGGCTGTCACGAGGAGCATTAGTTCCGGGAACCAGGTCCGAGTGGGCCAAAAAGGCGCCACGAGCAGGACCTGCTCCTCGTTGTCCCTGATCTTGCACAGTGTCTGTGCGAGAAGGATCAATGGGGGAAACGCATACTTGCGAAGGCAACAGGAGCGCAGACCACCTTGTCAGTTGATGTATGCAATGGTCGCCGTTTTGTCTGTTCGGACCAGCACGTGCTTGCCTCGTAAGTGCCCTTTGAGACGACAAGGCAAGGCACACTGCTAACAACTCTAGGCAATTGATATGCCAGTGCATTTCATACCCCGACACTGCATTCCCGTTGTACGTGGCCCCCCAGCCGGTGGTGGAGGCATCCGTGTAAACCACAGCATGCCTGGAGACCATTTCTAGGGGCACCCCTGCCCGGAGAAACGCAAGGTCTATGGCAGAAGTCTGCCGGGGAAACACGGGCTCTGAGGCAATACCGTGGACTTTACAAATATGGGATACACTTAGGTCTCTACATATGGAACCCAGCCCTCTACCAGTTCTCAAGGATTCATCAAGTGAGGGGCTGGCGCCGGACGCTCCGCCACGTCTGGCAGCCGAGGGGACGGAGGAGCTCAGTACGGCCTACAGGACAGACACTCTGGAGCAAGCCGACACTAAACCGGGGCCTCTCAGTGCCTCTACCCGTTTGAGGTGAGAACACAGGAGGATACCGGCTCCACACGAAGCCTATAGAAATATTTGTCAGTGAGGTGCCACGAGCCAGCACCCAGGAGGATGCAACACTTCTAGTAGAGTGAGCTCACAACCTGAACAGGCAGGGCACACCCTGTTCCTAATAAGCCAGGGGGATGGCATTCACAATCCAGTGGGCCATCCTCTGCTTAGAGATGGCCTTCCCCTTCTGCCGGCCTCCGTAACAGACAAAGAGCTGGTCTGAGGTCCTAAAGCTTTGTGTTCAGTCTATGTACCATCTCAAGGCTCGGACGGGACAAAGCAAAGCTAGGGCTGCCGGGGGCAGCACTTGCTGGTTCACTACCTGATCCCTGAAAGGGGTAGTAGGAACCTTGGGCACATAGCCGGGCCGGGGCCTCATGATTACCTGGGAGTTAGCCGGCCCAAACTCTAGGCATGAATCGTCGACTGAAAATGCGTGCAAGTCTCCTACCTTCTTGATGAAGGCCAGTGCAAGCAGGAGCAGAGTTTTCATTGAAAGAAACTTCAGCTCGACTGACTGCAAAGGCTCAAATGGGCCCTGCTGTAGTGTTTTAAGCACCAGAGACAAGTCCCAAGATGGTATAGAAGGGGGCCAGCTCGAGCCACCCTGAGAAACCAATGTGCAATCTCGAGGGCTCGTAACACGGTGGAGGTTACCACTCGAG